TTGCTGCTGCTGCTGCTCGTGTTGTTCGTCGTTGTCTTCTTCATTATCACCCGTTTGCCGCTTCAATTTCTTCTGCTGCTGCTCCTGCTTCGCGCTGTGCTGCTGCTTGTTATCTTCCTGCTTCAGCTGCTGCGGTGGCAGCTCTTGACTTGGTTGCTGCTGCTGTTGCTGCTGCTCTTCTTGCTGCGGTTGCTGTTGTTCTTCTTGCTGTTGCTGCTCTCCCTCTGGCGGCAGATGTGATGTCTTTACTCGCTTCCTTGGCCCATTGGGAGCAGCAGCAGCAGCATCAGCAGCAGCATCAGCAGCAGCATCAGCAGCATCAGCAGCAGCAGCAGCAGCTTTCGCGGGCCTGTACGGCATTGCATACGGCAGCAGCAGCCGCAGTGGCAGCTGCAGCGGCAGCGACGGCAGCGAGCGGCGGCGATGCTGCTGCAGCAGATCTTCTATGGGGTCCTCTGTGCACATACACCGCAGCAGTGCAGCAGCAGCAGCAACATCAGCAGCAGCAGCAGCAGCAGTTGTTGGAGTTCTCGCACCCGATACTTCTGATTTCGCAGAAGTGCTGTTAGACGACTTTGCTGCTGCTGCTGTTGCTGCTGCTGCTGCCTGCGGCAAAGCAGCCAACCGCATGCTGCTGCGCCTAGCCATCTTCGGAGGTTCTCTTGCTGCTGCTGCTGGATCTGATGCTGCATCTGTATCTGCTGCTGCTGCATCTGCTGCTGCTGCATCTGCTGCTGCTGGATCTGCTGCTGCTGCTGCTGCTGCTGCCTCTGTTGCTGCTGAATCTGCTGCTACTGTTGCATCTGCTTCTGCTTTTGCTGCTGTATCTGCTACTGATGCACTTGTATCTATTGCTGCATCTGTTGCTGCTGCTGCACCATCTGCTGCTGCGTTTCTTGTTGCTGCAGCAGTAGAATCCCTGCGTGGCTCTTCTGCTGCTGCTGAGGCATCGGAGGAATCATCTTTGCTGCTGGCCTCCCTCATTCCTGGCGCTGCTCTCATAACTGCTGTGCTGCTGCTGCAGTTGTTGCTGCTTCTTCTGTAGCTGCAGCAGTTACAGCTGCTGCTGTTGTTGCTGCTGCTGTTGTTCTTGATGCTGTTACTGCTGCTGCGGGTTCCTTCTAAGGGCTCGCTAGTAAGGAGGGCCCCTCTAAATTGCAACTCAGCGTCGGGTGCTGCTGCANGGTTCCTTCTAAGGGCTCGCTAGTAAGGAGGGCCCCTCTAAATTGCAACTCAGCGTCGGGTGCTGCTGCAATAACACTAGCAGCAGCAGCTGCTGCTGCTGCTGCTGCAGTGGCTAAGGCGTGTCTGTAGCGGCAGCAGCAAACAGTGAAGAATTTTCGAATAAGGACGAAGCAACTTGCTGCAGCAACAGCAGCTGCTGCTGCTGATACCACCAGATTCTTAACAATGGGCAGCGGTCCTTCCCGCTTGCCTTGAGTTTGCTGCAGCAGCTGCTGCTGAAGCTGTTGCCGCTGCTGCTGCTCTGGCTTCTACAGCTAGAAGGAAAAAGAGAAGCAGTGTTTAACTAATTCATTAAACTGCAAAGGCTGCAGCAGCAGACGCAGCAGCAGAACAACCCCCCTTCCTGGGGGGCGGTTCCCACCAGCCCCCGACGTGGGCAGCAGCAGCAGCAGCAGCAGCAGCAGTAGCAGAAGCAGCAGCAGCAGCAGCTGGAGCAGCAGCAGCNGGGCAGCAGCAGCAGCAGCAGCAGCAGCAGTAGCAGAAGCAGCAGCAGCAGCAGCTGGAGCAGCAGCAGCTGCTGCATAACTAGCTTAACAGCAGAGGCATTTGCTTAAAACCCGTTTTATTTCTAGCTGCCCCTGCAGCTAACAGGCGATGGTCCTGTGAGTGGAGCTGCAGCAGCAGCAGCAGCAGCAGCAGCAGAAGAGGCGGCGGCAGACACAGCTGTCGCCTTCAGCTTCTGCTGCTGCAGCTGCTGCACCCAACAGCAGCAAAAGGCCATGAACTGAAGCTTTGAGCTGATGTCTCGTAGCGAGGGAGGATGTCGCCTTGCGAATCCCGCAGGAACAACAACAACAACAGCAGCAGCAGCAGCAGCAGCAGCAGCAGCAGCAGCGACAGCAGCGCAGCTGCGGCCCCGCCGCGGCTTCAGGAGGAA